CCCCCCCCCCCCCAAAAAAAAAAAAAAAGTAAAAATCACCTCTGCGTATGACGGAGGCGGTCGCTCCGGCGGCCCTCTAGATCCCCACCCCCCCTCCCTGCCCCTACCCACAGCGCGAAAGCCTCGTCCTCCGTTGGCCACTCCCCTGCTGCCGTTGCTGCTGCCGTTGCTGCTGCTAGCGACCTCCATTCCCGGAGGGTCGTTGAAGATGTTGAATCGCGGGTCGATGGGCCAGGACATGGCACAGCCCTCCGAGATGTGGTGGTGCAGCACCAAGCTCGTGACCTTGATCATGGCCTTTTGCAGTGGGCATCGACGAGTTTTAAGGTATTGGGGCACTACATCTATAATCTGCGGTGTTTTTTCTGGGGTTTAGGCACAGCGATGTCACTCCGCACACCATATTACTTTCAAGATGCGGTACTCGACATGGAAGTAACTTATGTTGTGCATGTATGTATGTGTCTTTGGTTGTGGTTTGGCTCAAGCCAAGGAAACGGTCCTTTCGAAACCGATGTTCAGGATGTTCGTTCCTAGAACCACTTTGAGGCGAGATGAGGCATCAGGTGAAACATGCAGCACTACTGAAACATGTGTAGGGTTTAGTTCGGTTAAAAAAAACAAACGATATTATGTAAATTCGTCAAATACCAGCCGGTTTGATAATTGTTTGTTGCGTGTGTTTTCCATAACTTTTTGTCTCAAGTATATCAATCACGAAGGGCGGGCGTATAGGGCGAGTTTTTTCCCCTCGTCTATGCTTCAAGCCGTCACCTGCACGTCAAGGTCGTCGATGAACAGGCACAGCTCCACGCTAGACGAGCTGTTCCTCCTCTTCAAGGGAAGCTTCGCCGGTCGTGCCGCCTCCCTGCCACAACAACAACCGCAAGAAGTCGTGGTGGTCCATTCAACAGAGACGACAAAGAGAATGAGAAAGGCTCGCTGGTGGGGAGGAGAAACAAGCAAAGCAAACAAGCCTGTAGGAGGCCTTGTCTATAGGCCCAAGGCTTGTTACACCCGACAGTAGTAAAGGACAGAATTCCCCGGGAGAACGGCATGAAGAAGGTGTGGACGGCAGGCCCTTGCAAAAGAGGCACGTATAACACGCGAAACCGTTTTGCCGCGACTTGACAGCGTTGGGAAGGAAGGCAGAGGCTGAACAATCAAAAAGAAAAGAAAAAACAAGCAGCACACCACACAAATTAATTCCCTTGACCAGCATATCGCACAGCAGTAGTGCACTACACAGAGACCCCCTTTCTTCATCCTCGAACTCGGCGTGGACCTATTAGGCTCGACGAGTGCAACGCCTGAGCGCTTGCAGCACGGCGGTTCCACTTACGAGCCGAGCCGCTTGTCGCACGCCGCCGCTTCGTTCTTGCCAGACAGAAGTTGCTCAATCGATAGTCTACCGCAAGGCTTTCCTCTCCCTCTCTCTCTCCCTCTCTCTCACCAGTTGAGGTGCCTGTTATGCTTGTGCAGGATGTCCATGTCCATGTAGGGCACGGTGCGAAACATGTAGTGCGGCTTGTGCTCCCGGCTGACGCTGTTCAGCGTGCCACCGATGAAGTTGGTCCACTGGTGCGGCTCCGGCTCCGGCGGCATTGGACCTCCGTAGCTCTTTCGTTGATATTGTTGATCGTGGTGTTGTTGTTATTGTCGCGTACAACAGTGCAAACGAGAAATTATTGGTGTTGTTGGTGTTGTTGTCAAGTACAAGAGGTACTAGGAAATGTTGTGATTGACCAGGGAACGGGGGGGGACGGCATCGCGCCGAGCAGCGGAAGGGGAGCGTGAGAGGGAGAAGGTGGGGGTTCGCAGACAAGGCTACAAGTATTACTGATGCCATGCCCGCGGCCGTTGCACATGCCGTGGAATCGCAACATCCTCAGCCCTGCACAATGCAGTGAAACGCTGCTGCGTGTTGAAATCACAAGGTCGGTCCTACTACACCCACTGCCGTGTGATTGTCCGCTCGCGCCGGGCTCCCCCAGGAGTTTTTTCACACAGTCAATAGTAACCGTCTATGCTAGCTCTGGAACAGCAGCCTTGTATACCTAGCAATGCATCGTGCACCCACGACTGCCATTCGAGAACGAACGGTAGCTACGTCTTCCTCACGGGACTTGACCACATTCAAGATGGTTCCTCCTGCTCGCGATGGAGGGCTCAATATATTTTGACGTTTTTTTTTCGCACACCTGCTTGCGCTGGATGTTGCGCTCCATGGAGTCGAAAAATTCCTGCTCCTCTTCAGAAATCTGGCGTTTCGTCTTGCTGCTCAGCCTCCTGCCTCACCAGGAGTCCGCACCCAAAAAGAAGGCGGTACGAGGCGACGTGCGGGCTCATACATTTGTCGTGGAGGATGCGTTCGTTGTGGCGAGACAAACCGCTTAGAACAACGCCCCTTGGCCACAGCAGTGTTTCGAATGTGCCAGCATTTTCGGGCGGCAAAAGAGTGTTCCTGTAGCAGCTTGTAGACTCGTGGGAAAGGTCCGTGTGTTCCCAGTGGCAAAGCACATCCACTACAACCGCTGCATCAAGAGGTTGAACGTCACTGTGTCTCCAGGAAATTCAGCATAGCAGGGGTGGGGAGTTGTTTCCACACGTTCTTTTACCGAAAGTAATGGTGCGCATGGTGTGTGCCCAAAACGAATGCCAAGTCTCTAACAAAAGCAACTTCTTATCCGTTTTTCTTTCTTTTTTGGTTTTCCATTCGCCTTCTTTTCGTATCTTCGGGGCCTTAAGCCGGGAAAAAGCCATCTCGAAACCCTCCGCACGCGAACCTGTGGCGCACGTCGTAGACGGCAAAAACGGGGAAAGCTGACTGCGGCCGAGAGAAGCAAGAGCATGCAATCGAACGCTAATTGCGGTTGCAGCGAAATAATATCGAACGCCAATTCTGCTGCTGGCCGCGCACAGGCCGGGATAACTCTGTCCGCCCGCTCACCTTGTCAGCGGCACTCCCCCCTCTTCGCCGGAGGAAGGCGTACTGTCCATGGTGCTGTCGATCGTGTTGCAAGAATCAGCCCAGCCAAGCGCGCCGGCGGTGCCGATGACGTCCATGTTGACGGCTGCTTCTGCAGATCCCCACTGCACGTTGTTGGGTACGGACACGAACGGCGAGAGCACCGTCTCTATGTGCAGTAGGATAATAGCTGATTGCTGGGGTAACTCGACTACTGCTGTGGGAGGGATTTTGGCGACCGACAACAAACCCCGTCTACAGCCCTTTTAGACCAACGTTGTGGGCTGGGGGGAAGAAAGAGGACACTGCATGTCGAGAAACAGCAACAGGAGATGACGAGACTACGGCTGGATTCATTGTACAGTTTTTTTCCTTGTGCGGACACATCCATTTCATGGGTAGTCTCCTAATATGCACAGTAACCAAACACGGCAGTCTCTGCTTGAAGGTAACTGGTGTTTCTTGACGTCAAAACCACGCTCATTTTGGCTCGCCAACGGAAACATGTCAAGTCTCATGTACAATCGACCCCGTTTTAGGGAGGCACATGGTTTTTCCCGAAAAAAAACGTAATAAAGCGGGGTTGCGTCCTTAGGGTTCAGGGGACGATAGCTCCCAATCTCCGTGGCCAATGGAGGCATGCTATACCTCAAACTACGCGTCTTTTGCTAAGGAACGGTGTGGTATGAAAAGTCAGCATCGCCGAGACGACTGGCAACGGTTTGTTGACGTCCAACACATTTACAATACTTGAAAATGAGATGTACAGCAGTCGGGGACGTGTTGAAAACATCTAACTACAGCACAGAAGTTTGTACTTTTCCAACCAATGTACTGCATAGCCGGCAGCGGAAGTAGGAGGAAAGTCCAAGTAGGCACATATTTATCTCATTCTTGTGAAACAAAAACAACAACGAGCGTATTTCAGCGTTGCACCGAGGAACACCAGTACATGTAATAACTGCTGTCCCGGCGCAGACAAAAAGCTACCCTTGGGCGACTTTTCCCTCCACATATCGCAAAGAGTTCCCTGAACCTCCCCCCGCGGATTGGCTCTACGGCTCTGTTGAGTTTCATGAGTACACGAATGAACGGTCTTCGAAAGAAGGTACTGCGTCTCACGGTACTCGCCGCCCCTTCCCTTGGCGTACAAATAGGATCGAACGTCCTCCAAGCGAGAGATAACCTCGCCCTCGGTGAGGGACGAGGTTATGCACGACTTTTTGTTTTTGGCGGCATGAGATGGACCGCCGGTAGATGGGAGGAATCTATCCATACCAACACCCTGTTGCAGCTGCAGCAGCAGACCGCTCGCTACTTCCGCCGGCTGTGCGTCGCTACTTCTGTACTCACTGTGGTGCGTGGTGCATGCAAGGAGCGGCCCGCAGGACACAAAAAGGGGGGTACGCGGCAGAAAATGAGGGTACCTCATTACCGTACATTCTGCCGGGCCCCCGGAAAGCTGTTTAGACGGGGTGGGCGAAACGGGCTCAAGTAAGTCCGTCTGTCTGTCTGTCTGTCTGTGACCAGCCTCGATATAGTACCCAGCAGATTCCAGCCCATTTCACCATCTCGGCACCAAGTTGCAATCTAGGACTTGTTCACAACAAGTAATATTTTTCCCGAGCTGCCCCAACTGCTACCTTTTCAATCCGTGCTCGGTGCGTCGAGATAGTGCAGCGTCGGTACCCAACTTTAAGAAGGGAAGTTTCTGGCCCCTTGCAACACCGAGAGGAGGCGTCGTTTGATTTTGAACCAAGACAGACAGCCTCGCACACCACACAGCACACACACAGAGCCAGACATGGACAAACAGGGAAAGGGAGACACAGACCACAGCGAGGGCGAGACGGCGGGAGAGGGGTGTGCCATACGCTGCTGCTGTTAGCTATCGGCGGAGGAAGCGAGAGGAGAGATCAACATTTGGTTGCAGCAGCAGCAGCAGCAGCAGCGGCCTCTCTCTCTCTTTCCGCGGAGAGGGGCACGTGACACCAACAACACACAGACGCTGCTACGCACCACCATTGGTGCGACATGTACTGCTGTACGCCTCTCTACACTTTTGTGCGCGAAGACCTAGTGTGCGACCATTGCCTCCCGTGCTAGCCTGGTTACCCATCAAACGCTTTTGAGATTGCTCGATCAAAGCTCGAACCAACAAGCGAAGCACAACAGCAGAGACAATTTTTTGTTTTTAGCTGCCAGCCCTATTTTTTAATATACAGTAACACACCCCTCCCTTCTCCCCGGATTCACATTGATTGGCGCCCCCCACACCTCAATCAATATATTGTAATACTGCTGTGTAGTGAACGGGTCAATGGTAGCAACGCACGAGCCTACTGCAGGTACGTTTTTCAACAAACAACTGTTCCACATCCCGACCTAGTAATTAATGATGCATATGTACAGCGTGTGTGTGCTCTTTGCTGCCAAAGAAAAATTCCAGAACAAGAGGCAGATAAATGAAGGAGGGGGGGGGGGTTCTCTGAACGAAGTACATAATGCAAGCCAACACAATCCCCACAACAAGTGAAAGGGCAAAGGTCGACAGCAATCTCTCCATCAAGTGGTACTTGTACCCACAAGACCGGCTCGATTACCAGCGAGAGAGACAGAGAGAGGCAGAGGGAGAGACAGAGAGAGAGACAGAGAGAGAAGGTCGCACGCGTGGATGTGCGCAAGAGTTCCATCCCACCACCACACACGTACCCCGGTCGCCCCGGTGGTCTAGTGGGTAGCCTCGCAGCCTGCTAAGGGCCAGGTCATGGGTTCGAGTCCCGGCAGAGAGAGTTTTTTTCTCACTAAATAAATCCTGGTCTAGGATGAAAGCGACGCGCTGCAAAGCTCGTTTGTTAGTAAACCATAACCGACTTCGTAAGTCGCGAGGGAAGGGATTGCTGTACCCTTCTCGCGATAAAAATACCTCAGGCATGAACCGCAGGAGGGGGTCCAACCCCCCCCTCCTATGTGACCCCGGTTGGGTCGTCTAGCTATTATAGTAGAAGTGGAGGATAGGGGCCAGAGGGGCAGACGACAGAGTCCAATGATGGGAGAAAAACAAAAAAACAAAAACACGTGCACAACAACCTCTTGCACCTGCTGCTGTTTAGCCGAGATGCATTGCGTTCAATGCAGCTGGCAAAAGTCGATAGTAGGAGATGTGGGCGAGACGTTCGCCCCCCCACCCAAGAAGCACACGCAGAGGTCATATTCTTCCCTTAAGTGATACAGAACCCAGTGTTGTACAAAGAAAAGACTCTCCGGATCAGTTTGCTGCTGAAACGAAAGGGTGCTGTGTTCTCCGCATTTGAACACACGCCTTGCATTTCGCGGTGGGGGGAAAAACCTGGGGCGCGCTCTTACGTGGGCTGGCTCTCTGGCGGAAGCCGTACTCCTTCTGTCTGTCGGACTGCTGGCATTGTTTCCCATGATGATCGCCTGCGGGAGCAAGGAGCGGATCCCGACGGAACATCGGAGAGGAACATGAGCGTCGAAGTTCAAAGAGAGCGGGGCAGTCAGGCTGTGTGCCTGCTTCTGGTGTACCAGTCCAGAGGGACAACAAAAAAACAAATCCCAACACATGTCCAAGTCCACCATCTTTCGCACAAGGCACACCCATGGCAGTGCACCCTTCGGTTCACATGGCACAAGCATAGCTTTTGCCTAGGGCACGAGAGAGAGCAGGAGCAGCGTGTACAATAGCCTGACCTCTATCATTCGAGCTTGAAGTTGGCGTTGTCCCGAGTTTAAACCGATTAAGCGGTAGCCCAGAAGCTTTGCGTGTCTCCCTTAATGAATGTCAAGTCAACTAGGCTCTTGTTCGGCTCGTATTCTTGTGGATCCTGTTCTACGTATCATGGACGCCCATCTCACCGAGCTGCGCCAGCTGCTCGCTGATCCTGGTCCGCTTGTCCGCGCCAAAATGGGGGCTCCGTGCATCGAATGCCAGAGACCGAATCTCCGTAGATCGCGAATGACTACAGATCGCGAATGACCGGGCAATTATTAGATCGCGCCTCTCTTCGGATTCGGGACGGCGGTGAAGATCTGAGATAGAGGAACTTTTACTGCACGACGGCGGACGAAACCGCCCCTCTTTCAGGCAGCATGAACGTTATGATACCAATGGCAGGGCGTGGGTCCAGGTAAGGGACTGCACGTGGAGAAATATATGCATGTCCACCCTGGTTAGATATCTGGTGAGGTATAGTCTATGCTGTGCGTAGACCAGACTATGTAAACAACCTCGATACCCTGTTGTTCAGAGAATCAGCTCACGGCAAAACGGCGTTCTGCGTACATACAAGCGACACCACCTCTTTCAACCAAGAACAGCCCCAGCAGCAGCTTAGACCATACCCAAGCACCGTAGTGCATACAAGAGTGTTGCACTGCCAAAGTTTCGAAACTCAAGGGACCACCGCTACAACAGTACCTCCTGCCTGTGAATGAACCACACTTTCCCTCAGCGTGGAAACAACGCATCACCGCTGTCTCTCGGGATCTAGTCTACAACAGCAGCAGTAGCACTCGTAGACGGTACTGCTGCAGTCTACTGCAGGTCTAGACTGTAATACTGCTGCTGCTCCAGTATGAAACATAGTCGAAAGTCCAGTCTGCTGTACAGTAGTAGATCGTAGGACAGAAATACCACACTGCTGTTCGCAAGGAAAGTTCGTTTGGCATCGCCACCACTGCAGCTCACCTCGTCCGTCATCTCTGCAGTCTACAGCAGAGTCACGAGCAGGGTGCGAGAGTCATTTACTCTTCAACATAGCTAGAGCATTTGCTCTGCGTGCTTGTCACGGGGCGGGCGTAACGTAGACACCACGGGATTTCAAACCACCCGCTCTGCGATGAAAAGCCTACTCAGTAGACTAGTGCTTTTGGTTTATGTATGCGATATCCCGAATCGTCGACAGCAGCGCGGCACGTTGGATAAAGACTGCATTTGATAGTTTTATTTTCCGCTTAACTCAGTCTGTTTTCTTGGTCAATCAACAGATAGACTGCAACCATGCGGGTACAGCGAAGTGCTGTGGGAATGTGACATGGGGCTGCAGCTGCGACGACCTTTCCCGCAGAAATAGAACCAATAGGTTCTCGCTGCGATGGACATGGCGCAAGAAAACCTCTGTTGACACCGTACAACAGTCAATAGTGTAGATATCATGCTGTCGATCAAAGTTAGCCTATCAGCCCCGTCCCAACGATGCTATGTACTTACCGGCGTGCTTATTTTCTCTGCCTCGTTTGTATTCTCCCTATGCTACCGTCATGTTTGCAGATTTTCAGCCGAAGGATATCGGCTGCCCAAACCGTTAATAAACATTGTTGGACGCCCAATGCTCTTTTGGCTTTTAGACAACCTCGAGCTCAAGCCAGAAGACACTCTCTGGGTGGGGGTCCAACAAGAGATGGAGGGCGAATATACGATAGCCGCCCGGTTGAGAAACGAATATCCGTCGCTCGACATAAGGGTTGTCTCGATTGACTTCCAGACGCGAGGGGCGGCGGAAACTCTTTTCATCATGCTGCAGGTAAGATTCGCCCAAGGAGAAGGGTACTCAGCGAGAAGCGAATAGCAGACAAACATCTCTCGGGCCACAAGCGAGGGGGCCCAGTACAACTCGACGCGCCCTGTTATCGCACAGCAGCAGAACTCCCACGTGATGCTACCGTTGGTTGTGGCGTAGGACAGGAAGATGGCGTCCCATTGGCTCTGAGGCATTTAATGTCTGCAAGAGTACTGAGACCGCTAACGAACACGGTGTCTTCGGATTCCCTGTACTGTTTGCCACCTTCCCCATGGATCAGCACATGTCATCCGCAGAGATTCGGCGAAAAAGCATCTCCCTGGATTGCGATACTATATACTTCTCCGATGTGCTCGGAAGCTTCCGAGCATGCGCGAGTGGTTGTGGATCTAGCTTCTACTTTGAAGACGAAGGGGACAAGGTGAAAATCGCAAACGTCCGCAAAGCTATACAGTTAGTTGTGGTAGCCACCACGCCATATTCTAGAAGCGCGATTGTAATGGGTTGGAAACAATCCTTTGTGGTAGACTTCGCGCGCTGCAAAAGCAAGGTGGCGCGTATTTGAAATTCCGTGCCCTTGTCCTAATGTCCACATTACTTTCTCCTAATTTCCACACCTTTCGCCGCCTCAGCCAATCTTCTCCTATATCGAATTCGAACCGGGCACGGACAAGATTGTTCACATCCGAGAGAAGGAGGCGATTTCTCGACACGCAAACACCGGTGCTTACGCCTTCCCGTGTGGGGACCGCCTGAGAATGGCGTGCCGTGAAGTCCTCGACAACCCGGTCGGGAAGGCCGGGGAGTTCTACACGTCGAGCATTATTGAAGGGATGATCCAAGCGGGCCAGAAGGTTGGCTTTTATCTGCTCTTCGGAGATAGCAACTGACCGGAGATTTTGGTCGAAATCGTTGCTTGTGAGGAAGAAAGCATTCCGTATTTTTAAGTATGCAACACGAGCAATGGTTGATTTGGCGAACCTACCTAAGAACAATAATAGTACGACGCTGCAGTGTTGCAGATACCAGAAGTGAAACTCTGTAAGCACTGCGCGTTCGGTCGCTCACAAGCTCCGACAGGTTGCCGTACTCTAACGATACCACATCGTGCTACCTTTCCCTGCCACTGCTGCGCACTACATGCTCCCCGCTCTCGGGCAATATCCTTTAGTTCGTGGGGATTCACGTGCCAAACTTCTTTTGCGTAGGCACGCCCGCGCAACTGCGCTCGTTCCTTGGCTTGGCCCAAAAGGGGGTAGTGGCACCGCGGCGCAAAACTCGTATCTTCTTCGACCTCGATCGCCCACTACGTATGGCCCGTTCGGCAACTGGCGCCGATCTAACCGCGTCGGTTGGGTCAGGGGATCTCGACAAACATTTGCTAATGGTGAGGTGAACACCACATCAGTACAGATGACGTAGTAAACACGACGTTAGCGATGCCTGACGCAACGGGACACTAGGGGATGGCACAGCTTGATAGACTCGAATTATTTCGCCAAGGTATGTGTCATGTTGACTGTCACTCGTGTATGGGGTATCTACCGACTTCGAGGCTTCACCAATGCTTGACACACCCAGTCAGACAAACAAGACAGAGTACGCAGTCGTTTTATCGCCAACAGGCGGTAAAAAGACAATTTCAAAGCAGATGTGATACGCAGAACGAAACGTATTTGTATTGCAACACACGTCGCCTGGTTCAGGTGTTCGGTCGCATCGCCGGTATCGGTACCGTGAATGTAGTCACGATTCGCACGTGTGCTCGACACGTGATGACCTGATAACTAGGTGATGGAATGTAGAGAAATTGTAGACAAACATATCTAATTTCCGTAGTGGTCCCGGTAATGCCGGTGCGATCCAGCCAATTTCACCGGCCATATACAGGGCAATCGGCATTATTCGACCGGCGTTATACCGGTGCCACTACTGTAGTGGAAAGTATCGGTTTGCCGGGTGCCACATCCTCAACGGATCGCCAATACGAGTTTGTTCGCCCGGGCGTGGGTCTGTCGAAGAAGCCCACTGGGGACCGTACGACAGCCGAGACATAAAAAAAGGATGAAAGTGCTGTTAGTGGAAAAATCGGTGGCTCGTGATTCCTCTTGGCCACGTGCTTTGAAGTTCGAGGCATGAATGCAGGCACAACCCTGACCTGCAGTCCATGTGTTGCTCCTGGAGAAAAACGCGCGTTGCATCACCTGCGGAATGCGTTGCATGCCTGCGGAACCTATCTCGGCACGAACTGCAAGCCGTCGGCGGCTGCCTTTCACACGATATAAATATCGACGATCGGTTTCGTCGTGGCCTGTGCACTCACTTGTTGGACGTGTTCCCTGTTTTCGACGCCTCGGCTTCCGGCAGAAAACCCATAATACGGACACTTCCCGCGAAGACCCTGTGTCCGGGCAGCCTGCTGCTGGAGACATCACTATCGGTGGAAGGACTGGGAACGCGCACCAGGACATGCAGGAGGAGGTACAAACGTACACACCTAGCACACGAATGACACGTTGGCTGAAATCGATATGGTTGGCGAAGCATACGGTGCAATACTGCCGCCCGGAAACTACATCCAAACACGCAATTCGCGTCTTGGGAGGCTAGACCAAGAAGCCCACGTTGTCGTGGGACGTTTTCGTACGTTGATGCCCAGTTTATTATACCCAGAGATTCTCAAAGCACCACCAAAGGCGTGCGTAATTGACTCATTCCGAATCGCATCGAGAGGTACGTTGCATACTCTACTGCGCACTCCGTAGTAACTCGCAAGGCACCATATAGACATCTGACACCCCCAAGCCTCTTCGAAGGCATACAAATATCGAGCCGTGAAGTTCCATCAATACGCTCGGCGCCTTTCGTCTGCGTCTTTGTGCCAGATCGGACGGTGCCTGCAAGAATCAGAGATTGAAGAAGCCGTCTCCTCTCGTTGCGCGCAAGACTTTGTACGGCCGAGATCTTTCAACAGGTGTGCACACACGCGTGGAGGGATTTAATAGCAACTGACTTCGTTTCGTGCGAGTTTCAACGTCAGGCTTCCCTTCAGACGGGGTGCGCGACACCGATGTCGCTCGGAACCACCTGGTAGTATGCAGGCTCATCGTCACACCGACATGTTGGCGCCTGGGTGTGTCTAATCATGACGCGGAAGCTCCACGGGCCGCATCGACTACTGCTGCGTACCACCTCTCGCTCTCGCTCGTGGTAACTGTGCCGCTGTCATGCATCGGTTTG